AGATGAAACTTTAATGATCCCTGAGGGTAAAGTGAATAATTGTCTGTTAATTATAGGTGGCGTGCTAATTATCTCATGCAGCTCTTCTTTTATTCTTTCTGCATAAACTCTAGTGATAGTGTTTAACATTTTATCAGCATACTGTGGACAAAGTTTGTGATGAACAGATAAGAAATCAGTACACATTTAACTCTAGAAAGAAGTCACAAAGTGACCCGAAACCTGGACTGCAGTTAATTCTGAATTCATCGTGTTTGGATTAAAAGCTGTCTCAACCTGGACTCATATATATTTTTTCAGATGTGATGAATATATTTGTGTTCTACTTTTTATTCTAACAATGGGACTCTGAAAGCTCCTTGGTCTTGTTGAAAAAAAAAAGTTTTAAACATGATGTTCAGAAGGCTTTGTCTTTCTTTACTGTCGGTGGACTCATCTTGTTTTAAAGGACTCATCTGCAGAGAGTAGAAAGGTCATGGACACAGGTGGGCTCTCTGTCCACCTGTCTGTCTGTCCACCTGTTTAGCTCTTCTACTGGTTCTTTATGTTGCTTTACTGGTTCCTGGTGTGGCTCCAGTGGTTCCTTATTTGATTCTACTGATTCTTTATTTTGTTCTAATTGTTAAGACAATCCTGTGGAACAAGCTTGCCTTGAGGCTTTAGGTATGATGTAGTATACAGGCAAACAAGTTCTGTATTGCAGTCTTAGCAAAGACAAAAGAGATCTGACATATTTAAAAAACAATAATTAATTTATTATTTTATTATCATTATATTGCTATATAAACTAACTAAATAAAGTTATGGTATCAGTGTGTGCAGCAGGAAACAGAGGGTGTGTATTCCCCAGATCTGCCATACTCTAGCTGTCCACCAGATGTCATGGACTTTTCCTCCTTTCCCTCTAACTGACCGCCCACACACCTGTTCCTACTTCTCATTTGTAAGTCTGGACATTTTTCTTAATAAATAATTGAACTGATCCTGTCTGGTCCTGTTGTCATCTTCACACCAGCTGTTGCAGGGCATGGTGAGCAG